TTTTATTTCGGAAGTGTAAATAACATGGCAGAATCGCAGAGTTCGTGTTTATGTAACAACCTATAATTTCAAAACGCAGACGTCGCAGAAGACAGAATTCTTCTAAGTTTAAATGTCAATACCTTGTATGGCATTCAATATGGTAAATCAGTGAATATGACCCAAGTTCCATTAAAATATACATGGTGAACAGTTATGTATATATTGCCAAGCATCTTGTTTTAAAAGCCACGAATCAACGCAAGGTGTAACCTGATCGCTTCAACTTTCGGCCCAGATCTTCAGCGGGATGGCAGTAGTAGATAAAGTTTGGTTCTTTGTTCTCGGGAAGACGACACGAGGTGGTAGCGACACTTGATAATTTGGTCTACAACTTCTTTACAGTTAGCTAGTCTCGATCTGTAGTCTCGAGTGCTACCGATATTTGCTGCTGAAAAAATGATGTACAGAGTTTTTTCAAAGTATAATTTGTCCCGTCTTCACATCGGTTCCAATGGGGACCAAACGACTTATGTATATAGACCTCAATAAATACGATTAAGGATTCCTATTTTCAATATTTTCAAAGCATATCTTATTTCACAAGATAGTAGGGTGGTGGCTGAACTAGTAGGAAATGTTTTGAAATTCTATATTCGCTACCATGGCCAGCGCTTCCAGAGTTGGCTCGATATTGGTTAACAGCCCATTTTTGACAATTAAATTCCTTCACACAAGAAGTGTAAATTCAAAGAATAGGATAGGTTAAGGAGCCGATAAAACGTTAGAAGGTCGGTTTGACTTAGATGACAATATTATCTCATGCTTTGAAACGTTCTGTCTTTTACGATGAATGGTTTTCTTTGGCAGATTTCCAAATTCTACCTCTCAAAGTTTTCCCACTATTCTGTTCTGTATTTTGTGTATATGAAAGAAAAGAGAATATATACATCTGTTTTTGAAGTCGGTAGGTGAAAGGAAATGGAGTGTATTATCTTACTAGTTAGTTACAATCTCTCAGACATGATTGGGTATTCAAATTCAAACAGAGCAAATATGGCAAAAGTATTGAAATTCTTTTTAGAAGCTTCGGCGTTCAATCCCTTTTTGAATTTTCACTATCAAGTGTTCTTTTGTATGTCGTACTGTGAACTTAAAGATCTCAGCATACTGAAAATTTCAGCAGGCTAATGCCGCTGTCCTGGCAGTCATTGCACACTGCATTGCGTTGCCAATCGGGATCAGAAAAGTATAAAAACTATATAATACTGCTTTATTCCTTTTCCATTTAAGTTTATTCCACTAGTGCTCCAATTATGATCAGCCCAATTTGATTTCAAGTCGGCACAGATACTCTTAAATATATGAGGAATATTTGCAATATGACCTTCAATTGCGTTTTTTCTACAGTAATGTTCCACAAACAGAAAGCTTATTTTAGCTCAATATATAGAAGTCACCAGAGAATAAACGATAAATATATTGTACTGAAATAACAAAATTATAAAACTAAGTATGTTTTAATCGTGATAGAGTCGTGCCAACCAATTAAACTTAGTTGAATAAAATAAGTATTAAACTTAATTAAATATATTAAGTATGATTTAATAAAAGTGTCAGAATGTTGGTGGTAAATAACAAACTTAGAAATCTTAGACTGGAGAGTTACATAGAGCCGGGTTCGCTAGACTAGGTGCTATAACAGTATAGGTGATGATCTAAGTGATAAGCTGTTGCCATTCTCGAAACCAAGGCTGCAGTGGGAAAAAGTTGGCCTGGGTGACCTTAGAATTATACATAGAACCGGCTCGCTGGACGAGGTGCTACTAAACGGTTTTAGTTTAGTTATTTGATGATGCGTACAGGCGATGATCTATGTGACAAGCAGCTGTTACCCTTCTCGAAACCAAGGCTGCAAAAGGGGTCCTGGAAAAATTTAGAATATAAAAAACATAAAAAAAATGTTGTGTCGTTGGAAAAGTGAGGCATTTGCCTCCATTAAGCAACGCCCTTGGAAGCATTGCAAACCGACAAATAAAGCGACAGCATATATGAAATTATTTTCAACGAACCAAATGCAGCAGGCAAAGAATACCACTAAAAATGATACCATAAGTATATACAAATATGATTCGTTACCTCGCAAGCTTTCAACATTTACATAATCATATAGATTTTGGTATATGTAAATTGCAACATGGAATTTCTAAAAATGTTATCTAAATTGTTACCATCTGAATTATTTGTCTTATCACTAACGTATCTCTATGGGAATTAATAAAAGTGTTCATTACTGTAATGTATTACATTTATTAGTTTATCTGATCACCCTAGAGCGTACTCTAAACATTACGTTTTCAATCCCGTGAAATTAAAAACCAGTAGTCATAATATATAATATTTGAATATTCCCAGACATTTTTTCTGGCGAGATGCGTCACAATATTGATAATAACGGATTACATATCTTCTAAAAACAGGTTATGTTATCATTTTTTGATAAGTTTTGATGTTATTCAACATAGACATTTGATAAACTTCATTATAAATTTTGACATCAGAGAGTTTTCAATGTGATGGTTTGAAACATATTTTCTAATTACTTTTTACTGTTAGTTTTACGTGAACGATTGGAATAATTTCGGAAGTATCGAGAGAAGATAAACTACAACACATTATGATAATGACCTTAAACTAAAATACATGTATACACATACACAAAAGAACGTAACTAAAAGGACCTTCAACCAAAAGATTGGGAACGGAGGCCGGTCGTAAGCGTTACGTTAATCCCATATCTGTCATAGGCTTCTGCCGATTTTCAAGATGTATTAATTGTTCAGATGTAAATCAACTCATGCTGCATAAGCATTTCCGTATGAAAGTCAACAAATGTAATGCAATACCTCTTAACTTAAGCATCGTAAAAAATAAAGGAATCATAAAAGTTTGGGACAAATCTAAAATAAACTTATTACAGACAGCAGAATTTGCATATGCAAAAAAGGCCATTAAATATAGGTCTAAAAACATAAAAATCGTAAAACAATACAACAATAGCATTAAGATCAACTTTTAATCCCCAGTTCCATCAAATTTTCTATCAAAATTATATATTTAAAAAAAAATAACCATAAAAATGAACGATAGTGTACTTTTTTAATCGTGAATATATTTGTTTTGATTTATCTAGCCAGTTGCTATCATCACTTGTGATGAACTTTCATGCTTCTGTTCTGAATTTTTTTTAAACTAGTAGTTTTTTTCCCTAAACATGTTTTAAATAGTTCTGCATCGTTTAAGACATCATTGAAACTGTCTGTTTTTGATAAATTGTCTTTTTGGTGTTTATTCTCTTAAGACTATAAATTTAATGTAAACCATTATACCACGAATCAAGACAAATATACAAGAACGACTGCCAGTGCTCTTTTGAGTATTTTGAAGTGATTCATTAGTGAGTAAAACAACCAGTTGAAAACAGTGGCTCAAATACCATGGGGACTGGTTGAACCAAGTCCATGGGCCCCCAACCCTTAAGGGAACCTTCACCCTCAGGACAAAATGCAGGAGCTCATATATTAGGAATAATTCCCCGGGGGGAGGAACCAATCCTCCTAAAACCACGGGCCCCTTATCTAGTTGAACCACTAAAAGGAATGGTGTTGGGCAGCTAGGCAAATAAACCATAGTGCTTCTAAGGTACTTAAAAGGATTCATTCAAAGCAAATGACCCAAGACCTTCGTGGACTAATGCTCCATCGTTACTTCCTATCATGGATTTTCTTTCCTTTATTTGAATCGTTACAATGTTTGCTTGAAAAAATAAAACCATTATTGTAATTGGATAACCGTATTGTTTTTTACAAAATGATTCTCAAGGAAATAAAATCTCGAAAACTCGTACAAAAAAGACAATAGGATATACCACATCCCTTCAATGAAATCAAAGGATAAACAATATATATCATAATCTGAGTCAAGCTATCTCATTCTCATGAGGGCAAGAGGATATGATAAACAATGAATCAGCTCTAGACCACTCATCCCTCTGACTGTGAGGGCAAGATGCCAAGTCACACTGTTGTTATTTGTCTATAAGCAGGTGGTAGAATTCCACCATCTTGCTTAATCTTCTTTGATAAGTGACGCTAATCAACTGAGATATCCCATCTGGTAGAAATCATGGATATATTTAGTTTCTAAACAGATCTTCAGGGCATCTCTGGTCAGTTCATGTCGACTTGCACCAATTTCACTTCTTTTAATATAAAACACCTGTTTTACGCCTCATAATAATAAGAGTATTTCATCGATATGGTTCAGAACATGTTATATCCCATTTAATTAGTCCGATATTGACAGGAATTTATACTACGCTGATCGATTAAGTTAATTAATACATGTGTATTTACTGATGTATTTGACTTATAAACACATAACAGGAAATCAGACCAGATAGTAAAATAATGTATCAAGTTAAAAAATAAACCATAAATCAATTGAAATCGATGCCCTTTTTCCGACAGAAAACTAATAAAAATCCGTACCAGCAACACAATTCCGTTGATCAAAATCTCGTCCGGTAAAATCGAGAGTAAAAGTAGTATCAGGTGTTTCAAAAGGAGTAAGCTTATTTCGTATGTGTCTGATGACTAGTATCTATTCACCATAAATGTTAAATCTTAAACGAGCTCGTGTGCTCACTTGTAGATTTCTGATTTACAGCAAAAATGCCGTTGTACATAAGCGGCGAACATAAAACCATATAGTGTTTCCAGACTCATGAATTAACAATGTTTATTGTCATTTCAGAAAAGGCAGAGAAGAAGATTGTGTCAGATGATGGAGACAGTGACAGTGGATGTTCAACACAAACAGAAACCCGTACAGATCTCTCACCAGAGATAGAATATGGATGGGGATGCCATTCTAATCTCACGTTACTCTATGATCTGATGATACAAAGTCCAAGAAAAGCAGTCTGCCAAGATGTGCCAGAACAAGCCATAGATTATTCTATGTCGGGACAAAATTCACCTAATCCTCCTTCACCACCAAGTCCGTCAACTGCCAGTCCACAGTATCTAGCCCGACGATCTTTGAATGAGTTGCTTCTTCACTCTCCGACACAACCTCATGATCATCAAGATGATGACCCCAGAGATTGCTTAGATTGTGTTAAATATAGTTCCCGAAGTAGCCCTTCTCATCACCGTCCAATATCTAGAACCGCCAACGACAAAAAGGCCAGAAAATGCCCGCATTGTGACAAGGTTTATGTATCAATGCCAGCCTACAGTATGCATGTCAGAACCCACAACCAAGGATGCGAGTGCGTGTACTGTGGCAAGAAGTTCAGTCGACCATGGTTGTTGCAAGGGCATATCAGAACCCATACTGGAGAAAAGCCGTTTTCGTGCCCGAAATGTGGGAAGGCTTTTGCGGACAAGTCTAACCTTCGGGCCCACATCCAGACACATTCGACAGAGAAACCATACATTTGCGGAAGATGCGGCAAAGCATTCGCACTAAAGAGTTACCTGTATAAGCACGAAGAATCCTCTTGTATGAGAGGACAAAGATTTCGACATTAGAATACCAGCATTTCAAGATGATCGAAGCAGCAACCAAATCATATTTGCGGACCAAGCAATGATTTCTTCAACATTTTTGGATAGGAATTGCATATAGATAAACACGATAGAGCAGTGTTACAATAACTTTCTAAACCCAGTCCAACATTTCCCGTCCAAAATCCTGAGGATCATTGTACATCATTAGATTGTCAACAGTAGTACATCTCTCATCATGATCAAAGATCAAGAACATATTATTGGAGTATAGAAAAAAGCTTGTGAGTGGCTTTCATTGTTTTTTGTGTGGACCAAGGGTCATTTCATCTGTTTAAATGTAAAGAGACATCGGTCTAAGACTGAGACGATTTCAAAGAACAAGGTAGTAATATCGAACTTTCTAACTTAAGTGCCTTTAAAAACCATAGTGCCATTAGATTTTATTTTCCCCATTGTGCCAAATGTTATATTTTTTATAATAATCGCCCGGTCAATATGACACTAAAGTTTCATTAATCGTAAGTCATAACTTATAACAGGAAGAAGCAAAAGCATGTGTCATTCTTTTTAACAAATTCATGGATACATAATAAAATTACTCTAGATTCTAACGATACATCTATATAGATTCATCCATAAATGTTCTCCACTGTTACTTGTATACTATGAATAGATTTTTACGATGCATCTATATAGATTCTATCGATACATCTATATATATTCTATCGATACATCTACATATATTTTAAGCATACGATACACCTTTATAATTCTATCAATACATCTATATAGATTATTTGGATACATATTTATAGAATCTATCGATACATCTACATATATTTTAAGCATACGATACACCTTTATAATTCTATCAATGCATCTATATAGATTATTTGGATACATATTTATAGAATCTATCGATACATCTATATAAATTTTAAGCATACGATGCAGCTTTATAATTTCTATTGATACATCTATATAGATTTTAACATATATGTTGATAGAAGCAAAATACCAGAATCTATAAATTCCAACCACATCCGTTTTTTCTAAACTCTCAAAATTTCGTCATAATTATCTATCTATTGGTGCATAACGACCAATCTCTTCTTGCAAACAGTACCACTGTTGATTCCTAACTTTATCATTTAGTCCCATTTCTATAATGTGCATTCCTAAACTACATACGCTTTTATTGTAAACTTATTGCGAGTTTAACTCCGTTCTTTTGCCAAATTATATTTTTGATACTTTTAATACAGTCTGTTAGAAGATGTGTGTCTTTTGTGTTTTTAAAACGATATTTATGTGTGTGTATATATTTATAATTTATTGTCTAGGTATTGTATAATGTAATGTGTTTAATTTTTATTTATTGTATTAATTTATTGAACGTTTTCATAACTTTCATTCTTGGGTTTTATGTATTAAGTTATCATGAACTTTGTTAGGAGAAACTATTATTTATTTCTTTGTACTTACGTCAGATAGGAAATAATTTCAGAAAAGTATGATTTGGTAAATCATGATATTATGATTTTTATTTCTAATAATATTGATCAGTTCAATTGATTGTTAAATAACTTTGTTGGTAGCCTATATCAGTTTAAATAAAATTAGACCAAACTTTCGTTCCGTTTTTTTTTATTAGCTAATATTTTTAATATAGCATTCTTTTAGGGTCCAACGACAGCTCTCTTGAACTTTGGACATAATTCGATGGCGTCTGCTATAGCCAATCACTTTCGCCAGCGCTGGTATTTTGTGACGCGGTGTTTATCAGGTTAGGTCAAAGGTTAATTTGACGAACGTTCAAAAAGGCTGTCGTTAGACCCTAACTGAAGTGGCTGTATTAGAAATAAAAGTTTGGTCTAATTTTGATTAGACTGTTGGTATATGTAATTAATTTCGCATTACGTAACAGTTTTTTTTTTATTTAATTGTGTGTATAGTGTTTACATTATTTATTGAATGTATTTATTTATTGCATGTCTTCTATTTATCAATGAGTGTAGTGTGATGTGCATTCCCATGCTTATTGGTCTCCATCGCACTCCGTTTTATTATCTTATACAATTATCATTATGTTTGTAATTATATATCTTTTGATCTTTACTGGCAATAACTGGGATAACATCATTTGTCTATTGTCCGATCGCAATTTTTATATAATTTTTTTTAGGAATTTACAAATCAATCCAAAATAAAATTGAAAGTCTTAAGATTGTATTTAAGTTAATGAAAATATCGACCGATAAAAACATTATTTCTTTTTAATATGAATTTACAAAGGTGAATTTACAGTCGTTATGTCATGTCGCGTGCTCATGCAAAATCGTATCAAATTTTTGTTAGAAAATCGCATATAAGTAATAACGATTTTTCAGCCACGGGTGGGCTGAGAAGGATTGAATTCGAATGCTAAGAATTTCTCAGATTCGAAGGTTATTTTCTGCCCACTATCGAAAGTCATTATTTTTGTTTATTCTACACTCAACGAAATAAAGACAGATCATTTGCTAGTAAATGACAAACTTTAAATTTGATAACATTTATTATGTGTATTTATGTGTTTGTATATTTATTTTTTACTCTTTGTATTTATATTTATTTTTAATTTATTTCTACTGTCTATTTGTAGAGTTAAGATTCTTCCGAGGAAAGTCAAAATTCCGCATAAAATATAATATATATTATTATTTAACATCTTATTTATAATTATTTAAGTCAATGACGTCATCATATTTATAATCATTTATATAATTAACTTATTCTAAAAAAAAAAAGACATTCCTCTGTACCATCATATTTGACTTGGATTTGAAAATATATGCCTTTGTCCATTGGCAGTTTTAATACAAAGCATTTAAAAATGCTATTGTAAAATTATTTATTTATCTACTTTCGCTTATCTTTTACCATTTTCAGCACAATGCGACTAACTTGTCATTAATTTTACCAAAAAGAACGTCTAATGCTTCTTTCCTGAGAAAGTGACGTATCAATTTTTGTGAAACAAAGTTTTGATTTGCTTTGATAAACCGTTCAACTAAAAACATCTATTAAAACATCATATGTACGCTCATTTTCCAACCGGTGTATCACGTTTGCTCAGAACCTTAGCTACCTACCAAGCCATTTCAGACAATGGACCGACCTTCACCCATAATCAATATCATCCCATTTATCCTATTTCCTCACTTTCATCTGATCTGTAAATGGACTTTAAGAGCTACAACCGTTCTGTAATTTATTGTAATAAATTTAGATGATCTCAATGATAAGTGTTTTAATCTACGGAAGGACTAGAAAAGGCGATTCGACAATAAAACAAAATACACAGTTAAGTTTTCCTTTGAACGATATCATTTTAAATGATCAAAATTAGTTAATATTTTCGTCACATCATATTTTTTCCATCATATTGGATATATACAACGACCATGACGTAACGGTCCAATAACACAGGACCTAAAATTCCATCCCAATATTTTGACGATATTATTTTATTGATAATACAACCAATTTTTCTTTTTTTGATTTTGTAATTTATTTTTAATTTATGTAAATTGTTTTTGTAATTATTTATTGCAATCTCTTTTTTAATATTTTATAAAAATATCTTGTGTTTTTTGGGTGTGCTTTATTTATTTGGTGAATAAAACATGTGTGCAGCCAGGTTTTGTTTTTCTATTAATATACCAGTGAATAAACGTTTCCGAGGGTGCCATTAGCGGCTCGGTCGTGGCCTAACAGTCAATCATGAAAGATCCATCAGCGCTCTGCAATCCGTGGATAAACAGTCAATCATGGAAGATCCATTAGCGCTCTTCAATTCGTGATTAAACAGTCAACCATAGAAGATTCATTAATGCAGGGCAAGCCGTGGCCAATACTCCAACCATGATAGACCCATTAGCGCTCTGCAATCCGCTGATAAACAGTCAACCATGGAAGATGCATTAACGCTTTCCAAGCCGTGGCCAATACGCCAACCATGGAAGATCCATTAGCGCTCTGCAATACGTGGATAAACAGTCAACAGTGGAAGATTCATTAACGCTTTGCAAGCCGTGGCCAATACGCAAACCATGAAAGATTTATTAACGCTTTGCAAGCCGTGGCCAATACGTCAACCATGGAAGATCCATTAGCGCTTTGCAAGCCGTGGCCAATACGCAAACCATGGAAGATCCATTAGCGCTTTGCAAGCCGTGGCCAACAATCCACCATTGAAGATACGGTCGCGTTTTGCCATCAATCATTGTTCAAATGGTTGTAAAGAAGCCTAACAAAAACAAAAAAATTCGAAGAATCGATTCAAAATCATAATAAAATGTTTAAAATGGTGAAAAGGAAATCATAAAATCAATGCATAAGTGAGAATCAGCATAATTTCCTAATGGCCCTAAAACTATGGGCTATATTCACGTTGCAATGTTACAAGCACATGTCAAACCAGTGATAAAATTTTAAAGTCAAGAGGTTCGCCCCAGATGACATAAGGAGACGCTTTACGGAATCCGTTGATGTGTTGAATGAGCAATAGCAGGATTTCAAATAGCGACTGGCGTTAACTTTTTCGCATATTTAAATGGATTGGTTGTTCATGAGACTCAAAGAGAAACGTAAACTACTAAACAAAGCCATGGGGTCTGGTTAAAGAATACTTATGCTGTCTAGAGTTTAGGAATTGTAACAAGATACCAGAAAACAATAAGTTTCTGTTTCGGTTTTGACCATCGACCATGTTATGATTCACTTCTAGTTCTGGTACGCAGCTCTAACAGATTTTCTTACTGTACGCCCAACAGAGATTAAAGTATTAACCAGATATTTAGTAATACATGTAATATGAAGATAAGTCAATAATATTTGAACTACCAGATTGAATAGTTGTGGAACACACCTTAAGGTAACATATGTTAAACTGGTATAACATGGACTTTGGTACACCGATGAACATCTTAAAAACAGAAAAAATAGTCAAAACACGTCAGAAATGAAATGGGAGTCTTGCGTCCTACTTTGTTGCACCTGTTTGGGCTAATGATGAAAAACCACGTTAGAAGTTGCATGGTTGCCATTAGAATGTCACCAAATGTTCATAATTCAGAAACACCAGTGCTGTTCTTATTCCACACTTGAGCTTCTTAACAACGGAAGTAAACATGCAGCTAACCATTCTTGTGCTTGTCCTGTCTTTGAACTTTTTTCCCCAGTACCAAAGATTCTAAAGCTTACCCTTATTACACCGGTTTGTGATATCAGTTGCTTTTTTCCCAAGCATATTGTTTGTATGCCCGCAAGGATAAATCCATTGAAATTGTTTGTATTGCTGTTATATTTGCACTTTATTCCTTTTAAACATTACAGAGAATCGATTTCTGGTTGCAATTATTCCTTGGTGAAAAAGGGAGAAAAATACAACTAAGAAAATATTTATCCATTAAAATATTGTCCATATAAAAACATTTTAGGGCTCAATTAGCATGAAAGGTACTTGTGGATGTATACACAACTATTGCAATAAAAGTGAAAAGAAATGCAATTATTGAAGTTTCGCGGCTGTTATTCTAAAATTAGTATCAGTATATATAATATTTCACCATGTCGGTATCCGTTTTGACTCTTGTAGTTGGAATCCTCTGGTGAATAAAAAATTGACGGAAGGCTCGATTCGCCTACGTTCGATTGCTCCATCACGTGCCTGTAGATTTGTAGAAATTTATTATTACCACAGAGAACAAAATGATATACTTGAAGACGTTCCAGTCTACACGCGACCAAACCATTTAACATATTTCAAAATAATCTTGATTGATCCTGTAGAGCCCGAAGCAATTCAAAACCGGAAGTTAACCAGAATTTGAAACATTTGATTAAGATTTAAAGAAAGAAAACCGGAAACAGGTGGTCAAAATAAAGCGACACCTGTGTTCAAACGTCTGATTTGTTTACAAGTATACTAAAATGAAACATGATGGAAGAGTTTCTATTACTGTTAGTTTGTCAGTCAATCGTATACCATTTTACCAGTTTATATGTATCTACCATAAACATTCAGAGAAAATAATTCAGAAGATAACTGCATTAGATTATAATCGTCCCCGTAACCAATACACCGTAACAAATAGTAGAGACACTCATTTAGATCAAAAACCTTATTGTTTCAGGGCAATTCTGTCGAGTGGTTAATCTGGGATCAACTACAATGTAGTATCGCAGAATAACCACGACCTCTGATGAATATATCAATTCCAATCAATGTTTGAAAATGGTATAATGTGTTATTGTTTTGGCACAATGTATGTATCGGACCCTACTTAAATAAATTGGTCTCGTCTGAGATAAACCTACATCCATTCAATGTGGTGTACGAAGTTTCCTATAATTTGAATGTTGTTGGTAATGGCTGATACTTGACAGGCGATAAAGGCATATTGTGAATATTGCATTGACTGTTATCTCATCACATTAATGACGGTGTCGCATGGAAGTTCGGCAGAAAGTCGAAAAGCTTCTTGTTGACAACCAAACATTTATGGTCTATTCGTTATTGAATTGATGCGTATTGACTCTAAAACAGCGGACATATCTTTAATAACGGACGCAAAAACCTATCCAAATGTTTTCAAGTACATAAGCGATAACATGCATTTCCATCGTTACCACTGCTGGTTGCAAGTTCCACAGTAATCTTTCTGTTAATCTCTGTGATTAGCATATGTGCATTGTATACGTTACCACTACTGTTTACACGTTTCAAAGTTATCTTTTTCTTAATCTATGTATATTGTCTTCGTTACCACTGCTGGTTACAAGTCACTAAGTTATCTATCTTTTAATCTATATGATGTGTTTATGTATATAGTATATTGTGGTTAATGAAAGTGGATTATGTGTTTTCTATGATATTTATCATCTATTAAACGCTCATTACCAGATAAAATAACACCTTTTTACTTCCTACGTTTCTTTATAACATTTATGAGTCACTCTCGCCGTAACACTCATCAATTGCTTTTTATACCAGTTTTTCTTGAATTCATGTTGTATTCCCCTCATATGTTTACCTTGTCTAGCAGAAGAGCGAATACACAGGCCATATACATTAATCAAAGGAATAAATTTGTAAATTTTTGCAGCTTACTTTTTTTCTAAATGGGCTAAAAAAAAAAGACTGACAACGCCATGCAGCGTGCAATGAGTGAAGGTTTTACTCTAACAATATCAAAGGTGTTTGTCCTGTGACGCAAAGGGCTTATTGTCCCATCCGAAAGGAAAAGCGTACTAATATTGAGATCAAACCCCAGACGTGGTGAGAACTACCTCAGCTCCCCATAGTAATGTATCTTTCTTATGTTTTACGTTGGTTGGTTTGTGGAATGTGCCTTGTGGAAACTGCAATCGTTTTCGTACCTAAATGATCTCGAACGAACCATGTTTCTGCCAAATAACCGATATTGCTCATTTTCCCTATTTCCTTTATTACCTTAAAGATTACAGATTAAATCTGCGATTCTGGGCCCCCAAGAAGCAAACAAATACAGCGTCACACCAGATAACCTTTTGGTAGATTCAAAAATAACAATTAAAAATTGTTCATCATTAATAGTTAATATCACAATTTTGTATAGTAATGTCTTAACATTTCTTTAAGAACATGTTATGTTTTTTTTTGAAGAACCATAACTTTGTGAAAAAAACCCGCTATGTTTTATCTTTGACCTAGATTGCAAACTGTATGGGAATTTCATGTTGATAGATTTTGACGTGTCAGATTTTATTGGGAAAACACGTGTTAGATTATTGCTTGTGCACTCATCATGTATGTACAATACCAACTGACAGTAAAGTTGTGTGATGTATTTCTGTTTGTATACACCGACAATTCTCATATCATTTTCTGCTAATGGTTGTACACCAAATGAGCCGTTCATTTTAGTCAAAACTACTCACGATATTGCAAATTCAGCTGACGGCTGGTTTCCACAAGTCAAGGTGATAGCATAGAAAGAGCGTTTTGATGTTTCAGATTTCTCAACAAGCCATTTTAAATTAAACATAATTGAAGAAGTCTCGAATGAAATGAATGGAATTTTACGTCCTAATTTTTCTGCTGATGCGCAACACCATGTAGTGTACAATGAGGGAAATATTGTCAGAAAAGCTGCATTAACACAGTCTTTTTTATTTCCAAATGTCAAAGGAATTTTAACGTGTATGGCTTTAAGTACACGGGGCCTCGGTTGCTTGTCCAACCCGAACGACTAGACGCTAGACATGTCAGCCCCTCTTACTTGTATAACTCTCAACGGGAAATCGGGTTGCAAAAAGCGAAGGCATCTCGAGCAATGCAGAAAATGAACCCTGGACCTTCAGGTAAGCGTGCAAGCGTCTATCTCGCCTATCCACCGCGGCTCCAAGAGACATTTTCAATAAAACTTATAACATATCTTATGATGTGAAATGATATATCTATAAATTCCACTGGCTTCCTTAACAATGTAAGTAATATATACAATGTAGTATAATTGAAACCACTTCAAACGATATATGTTATCAGAGACAGTAGGGTTCCCACAAACATTCTACTTGTATGAATTTATATACACAAGTTTTTTAAAGGTAGTTAAAAAGAGAACAGCTTTAGTTCAACTTCGTACATGCTCTCACGAAAGACGGAGGAGATCTCTCTGCAAATCTGTCCATATTTCTTGTCGTAACAGTCTCAAAAAATTAAACAAAACATATACCTCTTATCACAAAATCTTGAAGTTGTTGTCGTTGAAACAAGCTAGGGGAAGAAACAACAATTGCTTTTACAAAAATAACAACTTAGGTTTACAATGATCCTTTCTACCAGCTGGGTATTGATCAAACCGCTTGGCCATAATCTTGCCCAAAGATTTTCCGTACCCATTTACAGTTGGTTCGACTAGAATATCAAGGACAGCCGATTTATCCTAGGTCAGCAGATTTTCATACGCTGACCAAAATTAGAACCAACGATCACCATAACAACAGTAGCAACAAGTCAATTGAAGTTCAACATACCAAAAACTTGGGTATTTGGGGTCCAGGATTGTAGATGTGGTTTGGGAACGCATCTTAGAATATTTCCAGTGATAAATGATAAAATGGTAATCAGAAAGTTCATGTTTCAACTACATTTTAATGATTTTTCTTATTTCGTTTTATAGTTCAAATAACCTGAGGCCAGAACATTCTGTCTCTTAAGTAAGTAATACCATTTGAATCAACAAAAGGGCGCCATCGTTTCATAATCGGTAATCAAAATCTACTTGTCTTTTCCAATTACATACGCTAATGTTAAATTGATCATCAAAAAAACTTTTTCTCATGTTTAGGTTTAATTGTATTAAGAACACGCCTTCAATTTTCTTTGCTAGAACAGTTGTAACATCAACACCGAGTACAGAAGGAAATTACCAACATAAAACGTTATTAATCTCCTACGCTTTTGGCATTACATCAAGGTCAGAGAATGAGCTCATTCATAAATTTCTTTTCTCTTACTCTTGGTCTGGTCATGAGAATATTTATTAGGCAATCGTCCAACTTATATTTAACTTAAACGTTTGTAAGCCGTTTAACATGATATGGAAGTAATGTCATTACTTATTGCTGCCAGGTTCCTCAACTCCCTAGTTTTGCATCGCACTGTACCTTATTGGATGAATAAAGGAACAACCCCTCAGGGCAGTCCACAAAGTGGTATCAAGCGCAATTTGCAAGTGTATTTTCAGTGGTATGTCTATGAATCATTGGGTGAAGAGGTCGAGTAGTTGCCCAAGAATGTCAAGAGCAGCTCACAACACCAGGCATTTAACAACTCAATGAAATGAAATTTCAACGCCACTGTTATTTTCAGCGACAAGACTTATGCACCACGGCCTCGAGTGGCCCAACTAGATGCATGGGGGCCCCCTCCCGGGGAAATTTTTTTTAACATATGCTCTCCTGCATTTTTTTCTGGAGTGGGGGCTGCCTTAGGGGTGGGCCGTGGTTCAACCAGTCCCTGTGGTAGTTGAGCCACCGACAGCTTCCAAATCAAACCTCTTCAGCTTTATATTTCATACACCAAGGATGTAAACTATCTGTCCTCTATCTTAAACGACTGATAAAATTTGTTTGCCGTCTGTGTAAACCTGTCTTATAGAAAATATATACATAAACCATCTAGTATATCATATTTATACCACATATTACTGACAAGAATTGCGTTTTAAGAATTTTAAATGCCAGAGGAACACAATTGAGATGTCTAATTTGAACATTCTAGAATATATTTATTTGTATTCAAACAAAGGTTTCCAGCAGCAGGGTTATAGCTGTTGTCAAATTCTATTATATTTCACTACAATATATTGCCTAATTCTCTTTCAAATAAACAAGTCTATTGCATTACCATTTGTTAAACAACTTCATGTGCAGATATAAACAATAAGAAACCTGAGCAAATGGAAAGAATGTGACGACATTAAAATTACGTGAGGTTATTCATAGGGCCTCTGTAATGTCTCTGCACATTTCCTGGTTAATGAAAAAAAACGTCTTTGTTGCCACAAAAGAGCTGCATTTGACTTCAACCGACGTCGTCACATATGTTTTGGCAAAATCATGAAGAATCTACTTATGCAATTGCTCTGCACGTTTCCAAGTATATAAAAGTTATCTTTTGTGCAACGGAGGAGCTGCTTTTGACTTCAACTGACGTCTTCACATATGTCTTTGCCAAAGCATTGTACTCGTATGATATGCTATCAAAATACACTACATGTATATTTGGAGTTAAATCCAAGTTTTAGCTGATTTTTGATAAAAAGACATGTCTGGACTACCTCTTGACGACAATTTGTCCGATATCCCATGATAAATAACTTCGTGTTATGCACCAATACTAGTGAAAGTGAAATACGATCTTAATATTAGGAACTATTTGATCAAATTGTGTTTCATTACCACTCTGAAACTATTGCATGTATTTTAGATTTTTTTATCGTTCAGCATTGTATAATTTCAGTCTTTTCAGAATATACATTGTTATAATTTCTAGGTGTACGCAGCGAAAATACCATTTCAATCTAATCTTTATTACTCAAATTGATAATTGATGTAAAAGAAGTACGTTTTCTTCTTGTGACCTTGACCAGTGCTTCTATGGGAGAGTATCTTCTATAACACCCAACAGTGACCTAGGCCAGTGCTTTCATTGAGACTCGTCTCAATACACCCTAACACCCAACAACAATAACCAACCATTAAAAGATTGAATGTGGCGGTCTTTGTATTTTAACTACTGAAGATAAGCGATAAGCGTAGCCCTTGTTTGGCATGTAGTTTTTACCGAAATGTCGGAAACAATTGTGAATCGAATTTGGGAATACTCTCGACCAACTGAAGTTCAAATTTAGTCAAGAAATAATAAAAAAAAATCCAACATGTATATAACAAATTTTTGGTTTTTGTTGACGAAAATCGTTTGCATTGTACAAAACATAAAGGGGTTCGATTTTTAAAGAAAAAAACATGAAAGCAACTTTTTGTTGAGAGAAAATGTGGCCAATCGTTTATCAAAATTACAATTATATTTGTGTTATGAATGTGTATTCAATTAATTGTATGGACAATATATTTTAGAATTTATAGTTATGGCCATTGTTGCACTAAACGCAATTGTGCTCTTTCTTTAAACATTTGTTTGAAAAGATACGATGTAAGAATTCATAAAAACATGAAAAACAAGACCACTGGGGCCGTTGTCCTACATAACGATATCGATGAACAATACACGGTTAAGATTTTATTTTCTATAGAAAAACAATTACCATAATCCCGACGGTGCCTTTTCTTATTAGTTGAAGTTCCAAGTTTCAATAGAAAGTAAAAATCATATTTTATTAAAATCATATACACAACAATACCCTGTATTCTATATAGTGTCTAGGGTTGTTTTCGTACCGGCGTATACCAGGTCGGTGGGGTAATTCTTATCGGTCTACTTGGGATTGGGGATGGGTGACACTTCTCCATCTTCAAATCCCAATGGACGTTCGTCTACAATAATAATTATATGTTTCTAGAGAACGCAGACAATGGCAACATAAGTAGTTTAATATTGTGGTTTTGTGATTCTAATGGCCATATGCGCACCACAACACCAAAGTTGTCCTAAATGACACAAATGATTTAGTTCCGTAATTATCATGCCCTGTATCACGTGAAACACATGATAAACCTGATTACGTTAGTGTAGAATTGATTTTTTTTAATTGTAAAAAACAAATAATATTCTTTTACATTTCTGAAGAATAAATATAGTTAAGCACGACATTTTAGAAAACAGAACACGCAACGGGACAAAATATAAACTTGGTAAACTTCCGTCACTGGTAAAATAACCAATAGTTTATGCTGATCATTCTTTTCAAAAAAACAATCAATTTAATTTGGATGGCACATGACTAGTTAACGTCCACTTCCAGCTTAGGCTTATATCGCAGACTGTCATTGTCACAGTACTGCTTTTGTAGCTTTATGATTAGAATACATCTTATTACTAAGTGCTAATCAATTTCTAGCGTACTTCTCTGGAGGCTACAGCTTCGTGCAATGGATATCAGATATTAATGAGGATGTATCTGCCTACTGTGTACGATGGATATAATCTTGCTCATATTGTGCCTAATATCAGGTAACACTTTTCTGACTTTTTATAACTATTAACTGCCTCTCTGATGGTTTTTTCATAACGGTCGGTAATTTTGCGCAGTTTTCTTGAAGCTTGTTTGCTACAGACTGCGCGTTCCAGATCCCTCGACAGTTGAAAAGTCGACACATGACAAAGATGAGAGTTGCGTGAGCATGTTATTATATTTCTTTTTGTACAATAAACAGTAGCCCAGTGTGTGAAAGCTGCTATCCTGACGCATTTTGTCATATAAGACACGGAAACTGCATGCTCCGCTGCTGTCCTGACGCATTTTGTCATATAAGACACGGAAACTGCATGCTTCGCTGCTGTCCTGACGCATTTTGTCATATAAGACACGGAAACTGCATGCTCCGCTGCTGTCCTGACGCATTTTGTCATATAAGACACGGAAACTGCATGCTCCGCTGCTGTCCTAACGCATTTTGTCATATAAGACACGGAAACTGCATGCTTCGCTGCTGTCCTGACGCATTTTGTCATATAAGACACGGAAACTGCATGCTCCGCTGCTGTCCTGACGCATTTTGTCATATAAGACACGGAAACTGCATGCTCCGCTGCTGTCCTGACGCATTTTGTCATATAAGACACGGAAACTACATGCTTTCATGCAAGGCTTTCCGCTTTTACTTAAATTTATGGGGTGCAGAAAGATAAATCGAAAATATTGCAGCAATGGGTCGGTTGTGGATTCTTAAACGGATGAAACCCTAGCTTCTATCGTGTTTACAAGCAGATTTTGATACTTTTGTCAAAGGTAGTAACCGTTCATCGAAATGCGAATAGTTAAAGAAATTTCAAGTCACATAAATCAAGGCCTAAAATTTGATCAAGACCCAATCATTCTTTACATTCGGTATATACCAAGTATCGCCAAATAAATAAAAAATTGCTTACAATAAATGTTGACGTTCCGAAGTTGGCGAATAAGAAATACGGGTAAGGGGAAATAGTCTCGAACGTCCCAAATGCCATTTTTGTTATTTTAGGTAACTTCAGTAAGAATTCAGAAGTGGGAGCCGAACGAGGTAGTAACAAACATTTAAAAGACATTTCATTATAGATTTTAATATCAAGATTTAGACCAACTGCATTTTTCTTGTCTTTTTCAGGAATCGAGCATGTAGCGAATACACCCGTTTACAAATGGCCCCTGAACGCGAAGACATTTGGATACGAAGTACTCAATAGATTTGATGCAGTTACTCCAAAACTTGATCAATGTTTTCCAGTGAATACGAATGGAAATACGTACCTAAACAATCCGGGGACACTGAGCTTCGAAGGATCTTCAGAATCCTTTGTGGACGTGTCATTAGATGGTTCAGTATCTTTGCCCAGTTCATTTGTCCTCACCCTGTATGCTAAACCCACGCAGCTCAAACCTAGAAGTGTAGTTTTTCATTACAAAGCTCAGACACAAGATTACAACAAGTTGACTGAGTTGGTTCTTGAGGGCAACAACAACCACTACAAACTCACAGCCCACTATGGTGATGGTAGTTCAAAATCTGCTGTGATATACAATAGGTTTAGTGTCAACACGCTGGAACTGGTAAAATCGCGATACAAACATGACACCAGACAGATGAGTATTTCATTTAATTCAGGGTCAAATATAGTGAATATCCCTCAAAAACAGTTATCCTTGCCGGGCACTTTAAGATTTGGAGGCCATCAAAGTGATCCAGATGCCAAATTTGTAGGAGAATTATCATGCGCAACGATGTACCTCGGAAGTAACGTTCATCTAACACCTTCTCAAATAAAAAACAATTGCGACATGAACTACCAAGACCCTCCGATAGGTAAGCCTCTTCAAGTATATGTACCATCATGTACATCAAATATATGCACAATATGTACGTGTATTCAAATATATGCACACAGTGTACATGAAATCAATTATATGTACATGCATTATGCATAAAATATACACGTACATCAAATATATACACATCATGTACTACGCACACACTGCTGTATCAAAAACATGCCCACGGTGTACATGTATTTGAATATATACACGACGTGTACCTGTAATCAATTATATATGTACATGTATTATGTATAATATGTACATGTTTTCAAATATATGCACACATGTACATCAAATATATGCACACATGTACATCAAATATATGCACAACATGTACCATGCACATACTGTTCAGTATCAAAAACATGCATTCAGTGTACCAGTATTCAAATATATGCACACAGTGTAGTCTACATGTATTATGGACATCTTTGTTTTCAAAAAAGATACACATTTGCTTATATAAACGGCACCTATTCAAACCCTTGCAACTTAATGGAAGATGTCAGACAATATCTAATCCCACAAATGAAAATTTGTAACATTTTCCTTTCAGTGCCATCCTGTTTCGCCACTGCTGTGGTACCGAAGTTTATCTGGCCAATGGACGATGTTGATAAAGGATATGAAGTTGTAAGAGGAACAGCCCCTTCATTTTATCATCAGGAGCAATATCATTTTATTGAAGGGCCAGAAGATTTAGATAATCAGGCCATCGAGTTCGATGGATCTTACATGTGTACCATAAGAACATTAATTCCCTCAAGTGTACTGCAAAGCGATTTTGGTCTTTTGTTTTTCATTCACTTTCACAGTATCAGCGACGGTACCATTCTAAATATTGAATCAGACAATGAATCTGTCCACGGGATTACTAAGGGGAACTTCGTGTTAGGCAATGGTACACTAACTTTAGAAGTATTTGATGAATCATCTGCATGTGCGCAAGTTGTAGTATCAAACGTAGTCATTCCTGATCAGTGGCAGGCGATGGCCATACAACGTTCTGAAAATCATGTTCGTTTAATTATTAATGGTCAGGAACATGAAACTATTGACCAGTGCTCTTCAAGCAATGGTTATGATAACCATACGATGACCATGGCAGTAGGAGCCACTGACGCCGGCGAAGAAGGTTTTAAAGGGAGTATTAGATGCATGGCCTTGTATACTACTGTACATCAGATAAATGCTATCGCTACAGCACTGGAAACTGCATGTACATCCACTGCAGTAACGTCATTTAGTCCACCACCAGGTAAATACGAATCCTAAAAGTCTACCTGAACTGAAGAAATACGTTACGGTTTTTTGCGCATAAACAAAAGACACAAATTTCATTTAAAAATCTAGAACAAAATAACATAGCATTATGAATGTAGATCAGTTGCCATTTCCTTTCATTTAACTATTCGAACCTTGAGGTAAAATGTATAACTATGTAGTTTATATCAGAGAACGATTGAAATGATAATCAATGATGGTTCTTATTATTACAGCCAATACATTGTCATGTTATCCATTGCGAATATCTACTGTATATTTCAGGAACAACCAACCTACCACTTGACAAGTATATGAAGTTCATAAAGATGCCGGAAGTCTGTCCTCCATTCAACTTTCCTACAATGGTAACTGCTGCAGGTGTGTCATTAACGTCTTGTGGGAAAATGTGTATTACTAATGATCATTGCAGAACATTTACGTACGATAAAAGTCGGAACTGTAAACTTTACGGGTATTTCATGGTTCACGCATTGCAACACTGCTCTCAAACAAACTATTACAGGATAAAAGAGGTTAGGTAAAAATTTTCTCCAAATACCAAAATTCTACTTTACAAACCATTATGATGGGTTCCTCGATCCAATGCTGATGTTCCACGGAAATGTTTTTGGCCATTTGATAGAAAAAGAGTTCTGCTTTTACTGTTTCGGTTTTATTTTTATGTTTATTGAGTGAAAACTTTGTTATTGTAAATTAGAAACTACAGTGTCACTACAGAGTCCACATAAAAAAACATAACAGACATGTTGTTTTGGTTTAGTGAAGTGGATAAAATCTTTTTAATTGATAATCAGAACCAGTCACGTTGAAGAATGGTTGTTAAGTAAAACTAAATAAAGTGAAAATAAACCGGAAGTACCCTAATTAACAAGTGATATCGATTATCGTCAAACTGATAATTATCATTCTATATTCACTTAGTCTCCATTCCTTTTTATACGCCCACATTATAATGTGGACGTATGTTGTCGTCACCCACGTCCACATTTCTCTTGTGAACGCGAAAGAGACTACAGTTTTCATCTGAATCGAATGAAATTTGGTGTGATCATTTATATTGATGAGATCTTGGACAGGTTCGATATTCACGATTTTTCGATGAACGGTTTTTGAGTTATTGCCCTTGACTTAGCCAAAACGCGTCAAAATTGGCCTGTGAACGCGATAGAGACTACAGTTTTCATCTGATTCGAATGAAATTTGGTGTGATCATTTATATTGATGAGATCTTGGACAAGTTCGAATTCTGGCTATCTTTCAATGAATGGTTTTTTAGTTATTGGCCTTGATTTATGAAAAAGTACTGTTTTCATCCGATTTAAATGAAATTTGGTATGATCATTTGTAATGATGAGATCTAAGTCGAGATAAAATTTGACAATTTTTCGATCAACGGAATTTGAGTTATCGCCCATGACTTAGTAAAAACTACATCAAAATTTGTTATCGATAAAGGTGACAGTTTATGTCGGAATTTTATTAAATAATGTGTGTTTGTTTAAATCAACAATATCTTGTACAAATTAAATTTTTGGTATGATTTGACACAGATAGGTGACTGCCCTTGATATACTGAAAATGTATCGGGAAAGTGGACGTATCTTGCTAGGCAACCACTTGTTTGTTTGTTATTCACCGGACGGCGACCATCTCAGACCTTGCGAGGACTACCGATATACTAGGTCCGGATAACGCAAAGAAAGCCGAGAAAGTGTATCTAAACTCTAAACCACACCTCGACCTATGCGACCATATTGCGCTCCACCAGCGCGCCCACGAACTAAGGGTAGGGGCGTTCAACGGAGATATAATGACGACCACACCATGCTTAATAGGTTCTAACCATGCCCGACCATACTACTAACTACAGCGTGTTATTGCGTTCATAGAGATTTAACGACCTTCCCATGGCCTTTCATAGCAGTCTAGGGTGGATCAGTTTATTGTCCCGTTCGAATCACCAGGCGGTTTTTCTATGGCAGTTCTTCCAAAATGCATCATCTACATCCTTTTTCAATACATTTTACATTGATATTTGCACTGATTAGTAAACATGCACGTTGCTTTTGATGGAATACAATCTATTTCCCAAGTATTCTATTATATTGATTATCGTCTTGAAAGAATTGTAAGGACAAGGGACGTAATTCAACTAACTTAATAATGCTTACATCTATATATTCTATATACTCCGAATGGCCGCAATCGTGAGCATACCGTGTTCATAAACTGCACACCTTCAAGAATCCGTACCCAGCGTTAAAACGACATAAGGCCGGACAGGTAGGGACACATATGTGAGCATTTACACGTTTTTAAAATGAAATGAAATGAATGGAGTTTTACGTCCTACTTTTCTGCACCATGCAGGCTAATGAAGACGGGCAATGCCATGCAGGGTGCAATGAGGGAAATTTTGCCAGGACAGCGGCATTAGCCTGCTCTTTTTCGATTTCCAACTGTCGAGGGATCTTTAACGTGCACAGCCTGTAGCACACGGGGCCTCGGTTTATTGTCCCATCCGAACGACTAGACGCTTTTTCCATATCAGTCCCTCGTACCTGCATCACTGACAGGGGGAAACCGGGTTGAAAAATCCGAAGGTATTATCTCGACCTATGCCGGGATTGAACCCTGGACCTTCAGGTTAGCGAGCAAGCGTCTAACTCACTTACACGTTTTTAAAGTTTATAAATAAGTTTATGGAATAACCATGCAATTAGATCAAAAGTTGGTGACTACAGATCAATCGATTTTTTGAATGGTTGATTCTCATGCTAATTAATGGGAGATAACTACCTATACCATTGTCGTTATTTGTCGGTATCAACCATATCACAATAGAACCAAAGTCAAACCATCCGATTGATCTAGATTCAACTACCACAACTGCCAACAACTACCAGTCTGTAATATCATCTTCTGCTGGAAATGGACATTAACCAACTGTGGGAGTTGGTATACCACATAAGTATGAAATAACAAGAGGAAATATAGACACTATATTACAACAACACTCCGATCTATTTTGCAGATTACACACCAACCGACATCTTTGAGAAGTCAGTTCATATCTGGATATTCTAATTCATGGCATGGCCTTAAAAGATTACATCTGGAAGATTCTGATCAACAGGTACCATCATCAGCGTGTACAAAAGTCAAATAATCATATTTAACAATATTGAACAATAGTTACTATCATCAGAGTCAACTGAATTCAAATAGTCTGATTTAAATATTATATCTGGAAGATATTGAACAACAGTTACTGTCAACTGAATTCAAATAGTCTGATTTAAATATTAGATCTGGAAGATATTGAACAACAGTTACTATCATCAGAGTCAACTGAATTCAAATAGTCTGATTTAAATATTATATCTGGAAGATATTGAACAACAATTACTATCATCAGAGAGTACAAAAGTCGTATAGTCTTATTAAATATTCGACCTGGAAGATATTGAACAGCAGTTACTATCATCAGAGTCAACTGAATTCAAATAGTCTGATTTAAATATTATATCTGGAAGATATTGAAACAGTTACTATCATCAGAGTCAACTGAATTCAAATAGTCTGATTTAAATATTATATCTGGAAGATATTGAACAACAGTTACTATCATCAGGGTCAACTGAATTCAAATAGTCTGATTTAAATATTAGATCTGGAAGATATTGAACAATAGTTACTATCATCAGAGTCAACTGAATTCAAATAGTCTGATTTAAATATTATATCTGGAAGATATTGAACAACAGTTACTATCATCAGAGTCAACTGAATTCAAATAGTCTGATTTAAATATTCGATCTGGAAGATATTGAACAACAGTTACTATCATCAGAGTCAACTGAATTCAAATAGTCTGATTTAAATATTATATCTGGAAGATATTGAACAACAGTTACTATCAACAGAGTCAACTGAATTCAAATAGTCTGATTTAAATATTAGATCTGGAAGATATTGAACAACAGTTACTATCATCAGAGTCAACTGAATTCAAATAGTCTGATTTAAATATTATATCTGGAAGATATTGAACAACAGTTACTACCATCAGAGTCAACTGAATTCAAATAGTCTGATTTAAATATTATATCTGGAAGATATTGAACAACAGTTACTATCATCAGAGTCACCTGAATTCAAATAGTCTGATTTAAATATTATATCTGGAAGATATTGAACAACAGTTACTATCATCAGAGTCAACTGAATTCAAATAGTCTGATTTAAATATTAGATCTGGAAGATATTGAACAATAGTTACTATCATCAGATTCAACTGAATTCAAATAGTCTGATTTAAATATTATATCTGGAAGATATTGAACAACAGTTACTATCATCAGAGTCAACTGAATTCAAATAGTCTGATTTAAATATTCGATCTGGAAGATATTGAACAACAGTTACTATCATCAGAGTCAACTGAATTCAAATAGTCTGATTTAAATATTATATCTGGAAGATATTGAACAACAGTTACTATCAACAGAGTCAACTGAATTCAAATAGTCTGATTTAAATATTAGATCTGGAAGATATTGAACAACAGTTACTATCATCAGAGTCAACTGAATTCAAATAGTCTGATTTAAATATTAGATCTGGAAGATATGAACAACAGTTACTTCATCAGA